CTGCAGCTATATTAATTGTATAGTTGTTGCACGAATGGGTTGGCTCGACCGGGGAAGGACTTCTCTTCTTATTCGTGTGCTTCATTACTGAAGGTCGTGCTTGTCCTGAAATGCTTTCACCGATGTGTCGACTAGTTCCTCCATACCACTCTGTCCTCGGCTTGTCTCAAGGAAGTAAGGACTACTAGTAAGGACTACTCTCCCACAAAATACCAACGTAAAATAGTAGCTTAATATTGCTATGTTACGTATGGTAAGTGTAGAGAACCGGAGACCCTTTTTACTGGAAAAGAGGCATTACATCTTAGTCTTCACGGGTGACAACGCATCTGCATTTTGATTCGTAATCGAGAATAGACGTAGATGTCTATGGGCCGCAGCAACCACTTACCATCAGGTGGACTGTGTGCTCGCTTGTCACCCTATGATTCTATAAAAAAAAAAGACTTACAACTATGGCAAAGATTCCCCGTATGAGACAATCTATGGGGGCCTATGTTCAGCAGTGAACTTTATTAGATTGTAACAGTAACGGTAAATAACTACTATGCGCATATATACCTAGTTAGTCAAAAATTAATCAAAAGTATAGTTGTCAGCTTAACCATGTAGTGGCTTGATTAGGCTGTATCCTCTATGGGAGAGGTCTATGTTTAGCAGTGGATTTTTATAGGCTGCAATGGATGGATGGATGAATCCAATACGGCGACCATTTTTACCACGTTTCCAATACTGAATTATGTTTAAAGTTCAAGTCTAGCTAGCTCATCGGGGGAAGTTAGCTTTTTTATCGTTACACCCGCACTAGGATTTTCCATTGTATAGTGGAAGCCATGTGGAAGCCATTTTATACGTGATAGAGCCATGGTGCAGCTATATTATGGTTGTAGCACGAATGGGTCGACTCGACCGGGGAAGGACCACGCTCTCACAGAATACCAGCATCAAATAGCAGCTTAACGCTGCTGTGTTTCGTATGGTGAGTGTAGAGAACCGGATACCCTTTTTATTGGAGACGAGGCATTCCATCTTAGTCCTCACGGGTGACAACGCATCTGCATTTTCATTCGTAATCGAAGATAGATGTAGATGTCTATGGGCCACAGCAACCACTTACCATCAGATGGACTGTGTGCTCGTTTGTCACCCTTCTCCTATAAAAAAAGCAGTTTACATACATAAATTGCACAAGGACAAACATTTAGACCCGGTACAATTATTTGTAGGCCATACACTTTTTTTTTGTACTTGATCCGTGCGGGATTCGAATCCGCGTCTCTCAGCGCCGCAGTTCAATGTCAAGCCGTTGCGTCGTGGAGCCGTCGACCGTAGCTTAAAATCGATTGCAAACATTGTACCGAACAAACGCGTAAGTGAGTTTATATCACATTGTCATCCAGTTCTGAGCAATAATTAATGTCAAGTTTCTAGCTCATCGGGAAGTTAGTTTAAAATTGGTTGTAACATTTGTACCGAACAGACAAATAACGAAGAGAACGAGTTAATAAAAACGTAATAAAGGTCGTGTATTCGAAGCAGATTGATCAGTTATTTATTTGTCGTAAATCACTCTTGGCAAGTTGGAGTGGTTAACAGGAGTTTTAGTAATTTTAATAGTGTTGCCAGTGTTCAATCTTTAAAAAACTATATAGCACACAGTTCACCTCGCGGTAAGTGGATGTCTTGGCAAGTAGACTGACTAACATCTATTCCACGAGAAATAAATATACCTACTCGTTGTCACCCCTGAGAACTAAAATAGAATGCTTCGTTACATTTACAATCTGGTTATCGTCACTCACCATAAGAAACGCACAAATAGACCGGTTATTTGTTAGTGTTTACTATGTTTCTATTTTACGCCGATATTTTACGAGTGTGGCCCTTCCCTAGTTGGGCTGAACCATTCGTGCTACAGCTATGGCGTCTGCATCGTGGCTATACGACGTAAAATGTAAACTTGTTTTACCGTACGCATAGGTACTCGTAGATGCAATACAACATATTTTTATTTGAAGTCAGTTGCCGTGCGTTATTCTCACAAAAACTCGGCAAATGGCTCGACCGATTTTAATGAAATGTTCTGTGTGTGTTTGAGTAGGTCACTGAATAGTTTAGATTCACGATTGGACCCGGTAGGTGGCGCTAGTGACTGGCCACATTATATTTATATATAAAGTTGAATGTTTTTGGGTTGTCTTGTAGGCGTACGTATACGCGTGCCACTCAGAAAGCAAAACAAAAGAAAGTGCTATGGTTAAAGTTTTTATTGTTAAATCTATTCAAAGAACTCTTCACCAACATCTAAACTTTTACGCGTCTGAACCAATTTTCGAAACACTTTTTAGAGTCCTCCAAACACCTGTTCTACGGCTTGCTGGAACTATTTTATTTTAGGAAATAACAGGTAGTTAAACGTTGGTCTATCAGGGCTGTAAAGATGGTGATCCAAGAGCTTAATCGGTGTACAGGAATTCTCACGTTTAGCGCAACTGCGTTGTCATGGTCAAGCAGTAGCCTACGGAGCCCCGTGTTCGGTCGCTTGTCCCTAACAGCAGCGAACATTTTCAGCAAGCATTTGTTACTGTACTATTCGGCATTGGTGCTACTTTTATTTTTTCGAAATTATTTAATTCGAAAAGGAATTGATACCACGCCAAAGTAAAAAAAAACCAGCGATGAAAATCTTTTCTGTGCTTCTCCTTCACATCAGTTTAATAGGTTTGATTAAATTTGAAATAGCCAAACAATTGACTGACGCTTCATTTCTGGATCACATTACCTGTAATAATGTCGTGAACACGCCAAATCAATCCTGCTTCAAATTTAGTAATTATGCCACAGCATCGTTCCACGTGGGCCTGCTTCTGAGTATCGGTGTTTGTGTGGTACCCAACTCAAAACTATCCTCACGAATGATGTTCGTAGATGTGTAAAATCTAATGAAATGTATGTAGATGTTAGTGTTAAACGTCGTGAACGCTTCAAGATCCAATCTGCAATATGTGCTGGATGTCTTCATGCGCAATTCGCCTATACTTTTCAATCAAATGTTTCACTGGTATAGCAGGTATGTTAGAAACAGCTGTCAAACGGCGTCTCTTATCATTTCTCAAAGTTAGTCGACCGTGGTGAAATTTGTTATACCACTATGGTTGCCTTAGAAAAGGTTTTATTCATAAATGCCATACGAAGTCTATTAAATGAGTCGTCCTGTTTTAGACGACATTTGAAATCGTAAAAAATCATCGCGCAAAAATGTTCCCGACGCAGGTACATTTTTAATTAAACACATTGTTTCAATTTAGCTCGTAAAAATGTGGAGAAATATTTGAAATTAGAACATTCGTATTTTACTTTCAAATAACTGTATTTTGAAACTGGCCAGTGTCTTATACAAAAAAAAAAGAAATCCAAAACTACATGACCAGTCATACCTTGCCCCGTCTTTGATAAAACTAATGAATTGTGTGCGTCCCCGCGAAGATGTCTTACAAACTAGTGGTAAAGTTGAAAATTTTGTACAACCGACTTCCATATAAATATAATTTATTGTTGATTTTTTTTTAATACCGCTCGACCGATTTCGATAAAATTTCAATGGGACCACCAGGGCAGCATACACTTTGAAACAAAAAAGAATTTTCCAAATCGGTTCAGGCGTCTTCGAGTAATCGGTGAACATACATAAAAAAAAGCTTCCGACGAATTGAGAACCTCCTCTTTTTTGAAGTGGGTTAAAAAGTGGTATTGTAATTTAATCATTGGTATACATTTTAGTATATCAATGATTGTAATGCATGCCGGGCAACATGAACACAAATAGAACACTTAATAAGTAAATAATTTTTGAATTTTCTTTTTTTAATTCTCTGTAGTCTATATCATAACATAATAAGAGAACCGGAGACTCTTTTTACTGGAAACGAGGCATTCCATCCTAGTCCTCAGGGGTGACAACGCATCTGCAATTTTGATTATTTCAATTAAAATTTCATTGTAATCAGATGAATGGTATAGAAATGTTTAGGGTACCTACAAAGAACCATTTTGATTCAGGAGTCAGGTTCACACAAGCATAAAGTAATTAGCGACAGGATCTAATAAGCCACGGGTCGCGTCCAGGATGCGCAGTGACGACAGGCCTGAGTAATCGCGCCATTGTTTTGTAATGAATGCTAGTTTGTTTTACGCCTTATTGTATCCGATCGCTGTTGGACTGTGACGTTAGGTGCCTGCCTTATTTATTCTATCGCTCTATTTATATTTTAAACCATACAACGTTTCAAATGTTATTCATTCTTAGTATTGATTGACTAACTACTCCTCTTTTAGTGCCTCGAGTTGGATTACGATATGGGTTGACTGGTAGAGAATGCCTTCAAGCATTAATTCCGCCCTTTTCATCCTTTCTTTTTTTGTAAAGGTTTTCAATAAAGTTTTTAACAATAATGTTCATTGTTTTTAAAAGTAAAAGCTAATAAAGAGCTGCGGTGCAATCTAACGGTTTCTACAGGAAAGGAACAAATATGCTGATACCCGCCATTTCGTCCGCGTTGCTTGATATATTAACAAAGTTTTCGTATGTGCGAAGGAAAAACATCAAAAAGACAAAATTTCTTTGTAAACAATGTTATTCGTTGTGCTCCGTTTGTAGCTAAAATATATAAATTGTCTGGGTTAGTAACGCGAGAGCAAACGACGTTCAGTTTATCGTGTGAAGAACCCCGTATAAAAATCGTTGTTTCTTAAAACTTTAATAAATTTGTATTAAACGAAGATATCGCAATTTTTTTTTGATAACCGCCAATTTTCTAAGAAATAAACTTAAAAAACCTAGTTGAAATCTATCCAGTAGTATTTCCGTGATGCGCGCGCACACAACTGCAAACCTCTATAATTTTATTTATATAGATTATAGATTATTATACGTGTAGTTCTATAAAAATCGTACACACATCACAATTAACTGACAATAAAAAATCAACATTATTTTCCAGGGCAAGTTGGTGAAACATTTCTCCCGGCAGCTGGTGTTCAAGGCGCAGTTTGGCGAGGAATTGCAACGGGAACTGGGCGACGTGCCTTGCCTGGCGCAATGGCTACGTGTGGTCGGCCTCAGCCCCGAAGCTATAGAGGTTTCTTACATTTATACAATTCTGTTTCATAATCATCATGTTTATTATCATCATCATCATCATGTTTATTATCATCATCATCATCATGTTTATTATTATCATCATCATCATCATCATTACAGCCCTTCACAAGTCCACTGCTGAACATAGGCCTCCCCCAAAGAATGCCACAAAGCACGGTCCTGAGCCACCTACATCCATCGACTTCATGCATATCTTACCATGTTGTCTCTCCATCTAGTGGGGTGACGCTCTACACTTCGCCTACCGGTATGAGGCTGCCACTCGAGAACCTTTTTTCCCCATCGGTTGTCGGTTCTTCGAGCTATATGGCCGGCCCATTGCCACTTCAGCTTACTAATCCGTTGGGCTATATCGATCACTCTGGTTCTACTGCGGATATCCTCATTTCTAAGTTTATCACGCAGAGAAACTCCGAGCATAGCCCTCTCCATAGATCGCTGAGCGACCTTGAGCTTCTTCATCATCCGTCATCACTGGCAACACGCACTGGTTGTACAGTCTCGTTTTCAAGTTTTTAGGTATACCTGACGAGAAGATGTGCCGAAATTTCCCAAACGCTGCCCATCCGAGTTGAATCCGTCGATTGACCTCGCGGTCGAAGTTGGACTTACCTAGTCGGACTATTTGTCTTAGGTACAAATACTCGTCAACAGCTTCGAGCTTAGTGCTCCTAACAACTACCGGTATAGGTGTGACATGGACATTAAACATAATCTTTGTTTTGTCCATGGTCATCTTAAGACATATCCGTTAGGAAACACTATTGAGGTCATTGAGCATAGTGCTTAGGCCCTCCAGCGATTCTGCCATAAGGACTATATCTTCGGCAAATCGAAGGTGAGTGATGTACTCGCCATTGATGTTAATACCGTATCCTATCCAGTCCAGAAGCTTGAAAACGTCTTCCAATGTAGCGGTGAAGAGTTTCGGGGATATGACGTCACCCTGTCTTACACCTTTCTGCAATTGGATAGGTTTCGTACTCTGGTTCTGTACTCGGATAGCCATCGTAGCCCTACTGTACAAGCACTTCAGCATTTCGATATACCGACAGTCAACTTGGCACCGCTGAAGGGACTGCAGCATCGCCCAAATTTCGACAAAATCAAAGGCTTTCTCATAGTCCACATACGCCAGACATAGTGGCAATTTGTATTCTTATTGTACTTATATGTGGTCCATGGTGCTAAAGCCGGAAAACGGTTTGTTCGGGAGGATGGAAGTCGTCAAGTCTGCGCGCGAGGCGATTCGTAATGACTCTCGAAACAGCACGTAGACGCGGCTCAGAATGGAAATCGGTCTGTAGTGCTTCAAGAGAGCGTTGTCACCTTTCTTGAAGAACAAGACCACCGCACTTCTGCTCCACGCCTCCGGTGTAATGCTATCATGGAGGACGGAATTAAAGAGCTTCTGAAGGACATCAAGTACCGGTTTTCCACCCGCTTTCAGAAGCTCCGCTGTAATTCCGCCGTTTTTAAGGTGCTGGAGAGCCATTCTAATCACGCTCAGACTGACGTCCGGGATATCATCGGAATAGTGACGGATAAGACTCGCTCTTGGATCGTTCCGCTTCTGGAAGAAAGAGTTCATCATAAAGAGTCCCTCTTTCTCCATGAAGTCGGCCAGCTGCTGGCTCCTTGGGTTCCGTTGCCCTATTCCGAATTTCCCTACTTTCAGCTCACCATTCTCTCTTGTACCTAGTTTTGCGTTGAAGTCTCCCATTAACACCGTGTAGTGGGTTTTGGAGTAATGCATGGCATCGGAATGTGCCGAAGTTGGTGCGTAAACCTGTATGACCTTCAGCTAATACCGTTTGGTGATTCTGAGTATAAGATACGCAACCTTCGCCGACACACTCCCAATCTATACAACGTTGTTAACGAGAGACTTGTGGACAATAAATCCGACACTTCCTCGGGACAGACGGTCGCCCTCCCGGTGATAGAATAAGTTGCCGGATTCGAGGATTACCGTGTCCTCCCCCTCTCTTCGGACCTCGGATAATCCTATGATATTCCAGCGCAACTTGTCTATCTCTTCTTCCAGCTCATCATCATCTCGTCAGTCCTTAGGGTGCGTGCGTTATAAGTTGCCAGGTCGAGTCGTCTTAGGTGGCAATCGAACCTCCACCGGAGATTCTTAGCAGTCCCTGCCCCGCCGTTACTATGGTCGCCACCGTAGCCAGGAATAGCTGAGCCGCCGGGGACTGGGGGCCGTCTCTTCGTTACTTTCAGGGGGGGTATATTGCCATAGTTGCCACGCTTGGCGAGTGGTTTGGCAACCGCAAATTTTTATTAGTTTTTTGCTGTTATAAGAAAGATGCTGCTGCCCATCCTCTGCCTCAGTTTCCCTCTGTCGCCTCTTACGACACCCACGGGAAGATATGGGTTAGTGAGTATTCTTACCCGGTACTACACGGGGTGTAGTGGCGTTTATCGCATCATAATAATTTCTCATGTGTTTTTTGATTTACATGTTATCGTCATAAAAGCAGTAAAATTAGTTTAAATATTATCCCGTTGACTACTGTCATAATAATTGCAGTACTGTTTTTAATTCGTAAGGCTTTGTGGTCAAAACCATTCAGAAAGGCATCATTATTACAAATATATTAAATATATCTATACTAAGTGTTAGTATCATCATTCATAATCATTACAGCCCTTCACAAGTCCACTGCTGAGCATAGGCCTCCCCCAAGGAATGTCACAAAGCCCGATCTTGAGCCACCTGCATCCATCGACTTCCTGCATGTCTTATCAGTGTACCATCTAGTGGCCTGACGACAGAATTAAAGCGTGGTCTTTCCCGGTCGAACTGACTCATTCGTACTACAACCATAATATAGCCGCAGCATGGCTCTACCACGTATAAAAGTGTGCTATCTTTACCATTTACCTTTCTGATTACTGTCGACTAATCTCACTAAAATGTCGTTTGCGCCTACAGGCAATATGCTCCCGCGTGGCGACCTTAGAGGCGCTCCGCGAGCGTTCCGACCACGAGCTGCGGGCGTTGCTGGTGGCGGCTCGCGACGAGGAGCTGCGCCGCCTCTGTCGCGCCATGCAGCGACTGCGCACCTACACCGGTGAGTCAGTGCGGGCATCCACCACTTTTTCTGCCATCAGAGCGGCGCCACTTTGAGGTGAAATATTTGACAGATATCGAAGTTTTTTTTCTGTAATATTTGTTAAAATGAACAAACTAATCCACGAATATTCCTAAAAGTCGTAAAATTAAAAAAAGGAGTTAACAATGTGCAAAAAGTTAAGCAGCAAACATTTAATTGTTTTGTATACTATAAATAATTTAAAAAAAACAATTAACACTCTAGAAACTTATAAAACTGAATGGGCTGAATCTGAATGACAGGTTGAGAAATTGTGTGATAAGAGAAGAGTGTGGTTTTCAAGATGATGTTGTGTGTTGATTGTTGTCGGGAAGTGACGCCCTAGACGAAAGTTTATCGACCAAATGGGCGATATATTGAAAATGGGCCAAATTAAGAGCCTTATACCTTTAACCAATGAGCTTGTACGCAGGTATATGGATGTGGAGGAAGCGAGAGGTGTGTCAGGATCGTGCCAAATCGAAGTCCATAGTCTGTGCCTAATCCACCTGGGTGACAGGCATGAGCGTTTATGTATGTAAACTTATAAACTTTTAATTAAAAAAAACTTAATTGTGTAAGAAAAACTTCACCTCAGTCTGTCACTTCAAGTCTGTCTGAAATATCGAAATATCGAAATATTTGCCTTATATTGAGCTGTGCATACAAAATTTTTAAAAGTTTTATATATATCTGTCCCGCTTAATCTTTGGAGTAGCTGAATCGTGTCTAATAAAACTACACGAACTCATAGAGTTCAACGCCAGGAGTGAACTAGGCTACATTTTATCCGCAAAACTAAAATGTTTTTTGAAAAAAAATTGATACAACAAAATATATCGGTTTTGATTAACTTAAATCTAATTTTTTTATAGGATAAGGGTGACAAACAAGCACACAGTCCACCTGATGGTAAGTGGTTGCTGTGGCCCATAGACATCTACATCTGTCCTATATTACAAATCAAAATTCAGATGCGTTTGTCACCCTTGAGGACTAAGATGAAATGCCTCGTTCCCCGTAAAAAGGGTCTCCAGTTCTCTATACTCACCAAATGAAATACAGCTGCGTTTATTCTGAGAGCGTGTTCCTTCACCGGTCGAGCCGATCGTTCGTGCTACAACTATACAATTAATATAGCTGCAGCATGGCTCTACCACGTCAATAACGTCACACTAAAGATCCTATTAATGCGAAGTTAGGTCGGGTTGCTATTACAACAATAAAACACAGAGTTATTAGGTATTTGATGTTTTTGGGGGCTGGCAGGGGTTGCTCGTCGCGACCCCTGCCAGCCCTTTTCAGGGCTGCAATTCTACTCAGCTGCGCACCCATGTCAACGAGGGTTAGGGCGTCCCCCCAAGGCGACGCACACCAGCTCGTCCCCGTTGGTGTGGAATGCAGCGCGCAAAGCGGCGATGGGGACCGCCACCCGTCACGCACAGCCCGACACGGCGGAAGGTGGAGGACGGAGTGCAGAGTTGGCACGTGGAATGTTAGAGGAGGCATGAGAGATAAGACGAATGAGTTGATCGAAATAATGAAAGAAAGAGAATTAGATGTCGTGTGTATGTCGGAGACCAAACGGAAGGGCAGGGGTACTGAAGAGCTCCCTGGCGGGGCGTTTGCTCTATGGTCCGGAGTCCCGGAGAGCGAGAACGCCTGCCAGGGAGTGGGGGTGCTGCTGTCTTCTCGGTTGGTCGATGTTATGACTGAATATAAGTTTGTGAACTCAAGACTTCTCTGGGTTCGCTTTAAATTGGGACTGACGAAGTTATTCCTTTTGGCTGTTTATGCGCCGGTGGCTTCGTCGTCCAGGGCTGAGCTGGAGGAGTTTTGGGAGAATGTAAGAGAAGTTCTAGATTTGGCTAGGGGAAACGAAAGGATTGTTGTATGTGGTGATTTGAATGGATGGGTTGGTACCGCTCGACCAGGGTACGAGTCGGTACTTGGAAAGTTTGGCGATAAAAGGGTTAATGATGCTGGCAAGCTTATACTGGCGGTATGCAAGGAAAAGGGTCTTCTTGTGACAAACACTATGTTTAATCACAAGAAAATCCATATGTATACTAGAGAAAGAAAGAATGAGAGAAGTATGATCGATTTGTTCCTGGTGGATGACCGACTGCGAAAACAGGTTATGGATACGCGAGTGTTCAGGGGTGCTGACCTGGGAACGGATCACTATTTAGTGATTACTAGATTTAGGGGTCTGTTCGCGGGTTGGCGCTACCGGACGACAGTGACAGAACCACAGTCGGTATGTCGCATCCGAAGCTGGAAGCTTCAGGAAGCGGATACTAGGGACAAATATCATGCGAGGGTAGCCGAAAAGCTTGACACCATCGATGGCAGAAACGAATGTGTAGAAAGAACATGGCAGAACCTTAGGGATGGAATGGTAAGTGCAGCGGAAGAAGTGTGTGGAACAATAAAAAGAGGCAGTAGTAAAAGAAGAGATGCATGGTGGAATGATGAAGTGAAAGAAGCTGTAAAGAAGAAGAAGAAAGCATGGTTAGACTACTTGGCCTCTAGTAATGATAAGGATATGAGAGAGAAGATGAAAGAAAGATATAAGCTGCAGAAAGTTCACACGAAAGCATTGATTGAGGAAGTGCGTGAAAGGTGTAGAATGGAAGCGGATGAAAGGTTGTCGCACAACTTTAAGGAGAACTCCAAACTCTTCTGGAAAGAGGTTGGAAGGACCCGAAGTGGTGCGACGGCCTTAAGAATGAACAAAGTGCTTTCGAGAACTAATGACGTCCTCTCAGAAAAATCGGACGTCATGCAGCGATGGAGCGAATTTTATAGAGAAATGTATGCGTGTGATGATCTTAGTGAGGGATCCGGGGATGACGCCGTGACTGGCACGCCAGACCCGGACCTCGATGACACTGAGGTCATCAGTATGAAAGAGATTGAACGTGCGATTCGAAGTTTGAAATGTGGTAAGGCTGCGGGACTAGACAGAGTTACTGCTGAAATGGTCAAGTATGGTGGGCCTCGCGTCTGGGACAGCTTTCATCTGCTGTGCAATTTGTGCTGGCGGACGGGGGATGTCCCGGATGATTGGCGATCCGCAATCATTGTGCCTTTATATAAAGGTAAAGGTTCACATTTTGACTGCGGGTGCTATCGGGCGATCAGCTTGACCAGTTTAGCAAGTAAAGTTTACTCGAAGGTTTTGACACGTAGGATGCAAGAGAAATCGGAAAGATTTCTATGGGAGGCACAATGCGGATTTAGACCTGGAAGAGGATGCACGGATCAAATGTTTTCTCTCCGTATGATCACGGAAAAGCTTCTGGCTGTTAACCAGAAGATTTTCTGTGCTTTTGTGGATCTTGAGAAAGCATTTGATAAGGTTGTAAGGAAGAAAATGTGGGAACTGTTGCCGGGGTATGGTGTGGATGGCCGATTGCTAAGGGCTGTGCAGTCTCTTTACTGTGACTGTAAAGCCTGTGTGCGGGTAGGGCATGACCTGTCACCCATGTTTAGCGTCCAAACGGGCGTAAAACAGGGTTGTGTCATGTCTTCCTGGCTGTTCATACTGTATCTCGACAGCTGTTTACAAAAGCTGAAAGATAGCTGTTTGGGTGTGAAATTGGGTGACATAAAAGTAAATTGTCTGCTGTATGCTGATGATGCAGTGCTTATTGCACCATCAGAGGCAGAACTGCAGGCATTAGTCACGTGTATGAAAGAGGAATGTGAAATTAAAGGTCTCCGTTTGAATGCTAATAAAACTAAGGTTCTGGTATTTGAAAGGGACGAAGAGAGAACGAAGTGTGAAATATGGGTAAATCAGGAATGTCTAGAACAGGTAAATGAAATTGTATACTTGGGGAGTGCTTTTAGCCGGGATGGAAGATGTGATTTAGATGTGGACAGGCGTGTCGCTGCCGGGAACAAAGTCAATGGTGCCCTGACTGCGTTAGTCAAAAGGCAAGGCGTAGCGAAGAGTGCACGCCTTGCAATACATAACGCAGTGTTGGTACCGACTTTGTTATATGGCAGCGAAACCTGGGTATGCCAGAAGAAGCATAAAAGTAAGTTGAATGCAGTGGAGATGCGATCTCTTCGTAAAATGTGCGGCGTTACTATGGCCGACCGAAAGCGAAACGAAGAGATTCGCAATATGGCAGGTTTGAAAGATGACCTTATCACAAAAATTGATAAGGGCGTGCTTCGGTGGTTTGGGCACGTTGAGCGAATGAGTGAAGACCGAATGGTGAAGAAAATATATAGCGCGAAAGTTAATATTAAAAGGTGTCGAGGTAGACCGAGACTAACTTTCGAAGACCATGTGAGCAAATTGCTCGAAGAGGGTAGGGTCAAGAGTACTCGGATACCTAGACGTGCATGTATGAAGAAGATAATGAATCTGAAAGAAGCGAAAGAGATATGTAAGGATCGTGACACTTGGCGATCTGTTCTCTCTGGCTACCCCGTCAGGGATTGTGCGTGAAGATAAGATGTTTTTATATAGAGAAATAAAAACATCAAATACTTAATAACCGTTTAGTGGCGGTGTAAAAATATTTACTACCCCATATCGATCGCCCCGAGGGTGTCGTAAGAGGCGACACAGGTAAAATGAAATAAGAGATGGGCAGCAGCATCTTCCTAATAACAACTCTAAATAATAAAGAAACTGTGGTTGCCAAGCGTGGCAACTATTGCAAAATCACTCCATAAGGCAATCTATGATAAAGGCCTATGTTCAGCAGTGGACTTTTATAGGCTGTAATGGATGGATGAATGGATGGATGGATGGATATACATACCTAATAGAAGTAGAAATATAATATTAAATATTATATGCCATCATAAACATAACTTGTAAAAAAAAACAAGTCTCGCAACTAATTTCTACCGTAAAAAGTTGTGAAATCCATGTAATACCAAGTCGGTTAATTTATTCAGTCCCTACTTAAGGGTCCTTCTGTCTCAAGTTATTACGTAATTAGCTGACCTTACAACGTCTTATAGTGACCATATCAATATTAAAAATATTTTATATTTTAAATAAATAGATTGACTTGGTCATCGCATGAAAACACAATGTATCTCACAAGTAATACATATTATATTAAATTAGATTGTTTAGTGCAATTGCCAACTCAATCTATGTATTTAAAAATATAAAAGATTTTTATATTGAAATGGTTATGTTATAAGATGTTGTTAGGTCAGCTAATTACATAATAACTTGAGACAGAAGGACCCTTAAGTAGGGACTGAATCAGTCAGAAAACAAATTGTATATATTTCTTTTAATATTCTACTAAGCCAGCGCTTATCTACGATCCCACCTGATGGTAAGAAGTCTTATCACAGAAAGTTCTCATACAACCTTAACACTACGAATGAGCGCTTATTTTGTGCTACCTTTTCTGCTGTCTAATGTTTGAAATATAAATATGATAAAGAAATTTAATGCTTTATTTTATTTAAACACTATAAAGTTATGTTTCTATCTGCAGAAGCGCTGGCGCGAGGTGAAGGTGCGGCTGAGCTGCCTTTGTACTGGGACTCGTGGGAGCGACACGCTCGCTCCTCTCCGAGACCGAGGAAAGGTTTGTATTTGATATTAAAATTCATCATTATATAAAGCATAAAGACTGAACGAATGGGTGAGAAATTGTGTGATAAGAGAAAAAAGTGGAGCCATGGTAGCTCAGATGGTTAGCGCTCACTGTAAGCTTCACAGTACTCGAGCAACCCGGGTTCGATCCCCGCCGGCACCAATGAAATTGTTAATTGCAATTTTAAGTGCTGATTTACCACGTGCACGGCGGTGAAGGAAAACATCGTGAGGAAACCTGCATGTCTGAGAAATAAGAAAAAAAAATATTTCGAAGACATGTGAAGTTCGCCAACACGCACTGGGGCAGCGCGGCGGAAATTCCCTTGCCCTAAAACCCTCTCAGAAATGAGAGGAGGCCTGTGCCCAGCAGTGGGACGTAAATAGGCTGCAGCTTTAGAGAAAAAAGTAGTTTGCAAGATGTGATCAGAATGAAGTAAATAATACTTCGTTTGGACACATCACAAGAATAAATGAGGAAAGAGTGATATAGCAAATTAATGCTGCAAAAGTGAATGGCAGAGTCGAGAAGAGATACCCTTGATGGAGGCTTTTTAACTAAATTGGCGATATATTTACGATGGACCAAATTACAAGTACCCCTGCCTGATGAGCATGTATGGAAATGAAAGAAGCGAGAGGGGTTATGTCAGGATCATGCCAAATGAAAGTTCGTAATCTCTGGTTACCCCTCTGGATGGCATATTTAAGATTTTTTTTTAAATTTAAGAATTCATCTACATTTTAATTCTTATCGAGGATCGATGTCGCTGTCTATAGGACCCAGCATTACCTTACCATCAGAGGAATTGAGTTATCGTTTGTCACCCATACTCTATAAAAAAAGTAATGACGAGAACCATACACCCTTGTTAGCTGATTACGAGTCATTCTATCTTGGTCCTCAGAGGTAGCAAATACTCTGCATGCAGTCTGCATTGATACTTAATGGAGACTATTATATATTAGACATAAAAAGTTATTTTCAATAAGTGTTATTTATAATCTTTATTGATGAATAAAAAAGTTCTGTTTCTTTTTATAGTTGTAGATGTTTCAGGGCTATAGCATCCTCATACAATCTGGTGAGCTTTGTGCTTGTTTGTCATTATTGTATAAAAAAAGACTTACAGTTGCCAAACTTATTAAAAATTAATTGGACACGCTATATGTTGAAAAGTTAGTAAAAAATCAAAATATTATAAATCTATGTAAATGTTTCAGGCGGCAAGTCACCTACAACACCAGTAAGCAAACGGAAGCAAAACTCACATCTACCAGCACCCGCCGCCTTGACGAAGTCTCGCTCTCACGAATCCCAGCTGTCTGTCAGGCCTGACGCCTCCGATCTTAGGTACCTGTTATTTCTAATGATTTCATTAAAATTGATATTGCCACAGAAACAATGGAATTTATATTTCGGTAAGACATTCATGACATAACACTTGTTATCATTGACCTGTATATATGGACTGGCTATACACCGTTACATAATCAGGCGATTTGATTTTAGCCATTTTGGCGCTGATAGAACAGAAGCAGAAGTGAACGTCCACGGAACTAATAATAGAGATAAGACAGTGTGATAAAATATATCGATAAAAATTCTATACCCAGGCCTACACGTAACGTCCATTATAGTTATGTATCAATTAATACCTAGGCTCTAGACGCAAGCTTTATACCTCATATAAAACCAATATCGATGCTGCGTTGGTCTATCTACGTTTTTATTCGGAACTACACAACGGATTTTGCTCCGAGTTTCAACATTGGTTCATTCGCGGGGCTTAAATATTTAATTAGTACCGCAAAATTTCAACTGGTGTAAGTAACTATACAAAATAAAAACATAATTTCGCCAATAATTTATTGTCAACTGTTCATTCAGTTCTAGTATTAGAGAAAACAAATCAGCTAATTAAATAACGCATATTCTAATTGTTTACAGGTCTGTCCATAGACAAAATAAACTATATCTCCTAATATATATACATTAATACGAATAAGTATGTTATGCAATGCCATATCGTTCTTGAGATTGCAGTAAAACTTTGTCAACTTATTGCTTGCACTTGCGCAAAGGTCATAGACATAGTACAATTAACTTACACAAGTGGCGCGCGTATCGTACTAACACATTCGTGCTACAACTATACTACTAATATAACTGCAGCATGGCTCTACCACGTACAAGTACTCCATTAATTTTTTCAATTTTGTAGCTGAAATAATTAAACAATATGAGCGAGGTTATATGTCATGTCGCGCTGCTCAGACGCGTGATATACGATGGTGAAACCACGGGGCATAGCTAGTCAAACAATATACCTCTTCCAAATTTAAAACGATATTTCTATAAATATTTCTTCCGCGGCAGCAATGCGCTGGGTACCATCTAGAAAGATATAAACTTTAAATTACATAGTTATCAGTTATTTACAACATTTCGAAATTAAACCAACCAGATGGAAACCCTCGGCAGGGGTCCAAACGGCCGAGGGTTAGGGGAAAAGGGAAAGAAACCGGCGGACGATGCGGGTGGTATCGACGAGCACCGCTTTCTGCATTTGAGCTTGGAGCGGTCCCAGTCGCCTCAGATGACCCGGGAGGCTGACTGGGATTAACCAGTTCGCAGAAACAATTACAGGTATAATTTCGGTCGGCAGTCCGCCTCACATGTCGGTCAGCTCGTGAGCCAGGTCCATATATTTTGTTTTCTTATCTGTTTCGGCTTTCACGAGGATCTTGTCATACGGAATGGTAATGTCGACCAAAAATATCCTTGACTGTGCCCGGTCCATCAGCACAACATCAGGCTTATTCGCAAGTATAGTCCTGTCTGTGATGATGTCCCGGTCCCAGTAGAGCCTGGCGCGGTCATTTTCGAGCACGGCTTCCGGCAAGTATTTGTAATAAGGCAATTTCCGGTCCACGAGACCGTATTTCAGAGCGATCTCCTGGTGTAGAATTCTGGCTAATAAGTTGTGCCTGTGCAAGTACTCAGAGTTAGAAAGCGCCGAACAATCGGAGATGACATGCCTAAGTGACTCACCGGGATGGCGACAAGCTCGACAGATGTCGACGGTGCCATCCCTTAGGATGTATCTCATGTTAGTTGTTGGTCTTAATAACCTGATTTTGTATCGCACACACAAAACCCTCGGTTTACCCAAATAGGTCACCAAAACGTAGCCAGTAAAGGGAGGCAACTGTGTCTACGAAAGGCTCATGTAGAGCCTTGTAGACCCTCCCGTGGAGCTCCTTCTCCTTCAATACGGTCTCCCGGTCCTGAATGCTCTGTACTGCCGGGTCCTGCCATTGCTCGATGGCTAAGGATAGAGGGGTAAGTCCTTTATCACAAGAAATGACCCCCCTATAGAACGGATCATCCGCTCTTGTCAGAAAGTAATTACGGAGGCTACACACTTCGCGATTATGCATGGTAAGCGCGCTTAAAAAGCCGCGCCCACCATGTTTCCGCGGCAAGTACAGCCTCATAATCGACGATCTCGGGTATTATTATTACAAGGTTTAATAATCGTTTAATAAAAATATGATATTAAGGGTGGATTCGACTAAATACACCAGAGTAACTAACCCTCTTTGGTCTTACTCTCATATAACTTCGTTTGCGTTTTCCCAACACAAACGTGGAGTAGCCAATACTGGGTATTGTTACTCTAAAGTTTGTGAATCAATAACAACAGTAACATTTGATAATTACCGGTTGTCGGCGAGTTTGATTGTTAACCGATATGGATAGAACAGAACATCGATAAGTATTATATACAAGGAACTCTACAACAAAAATCGAATTTTATTGTTCATTAAAACTCATTAATATAAAGCCAAACATGTTGGTATTTACGATATTAAAATTAGTAGTGGCAGCATCGTTTCCGAGACACCTGAGATTTTGGGTTATTAGTAGTAGTAGATTAGTATTAACATCAATGGCGAGTACATCACTCACCTTCGATTTGCCGACTATATAGTCCTTATGGCATTATCGCTGGAGGACCTAACCACAATGTTAATGACCTCAATAGTGTCTCCCAACGGATAGGTCTTAAGATGAACATGGACAAAACAAAAGTCATGTGTAACGTCCATGTCACACCTATGCCGGTAGTTGTTGGGGACACTAAGCTCGAAGTTGTTGACGAGTATGTTTACTTGGGATAAATAGTCCGACTAGGTAAGTCCAACTTCGACCGAGAGGTCAATCGACGGATTCAGCTCGACTGGACAGCGTTCGGGAAATTACGGCTTATCTTCTCGTCAGGTTTACCTCAAAACTTAAAAACTAGATGACTGTACAACCAGTGCGTGTTGCCAGTGATGACCTATGGATCTGAGACGAAGTCCTTCACTGCTGGCCGTATGAGGAAGCTCAAAGTCGCTCAGCGAGCTATGGAGAGGGCTATGTTCGGCGTTTCTCTGCATGATAGACTTAAAAACGAGGACATCTGCGATAGAACCAGAGTAACCGACATAGCCCAAAGAATTAGTATGCTGAGGTGGCAATGGGCCGGCCATATAGCTCGAAGAACCGACAACCGATGGGGAAAAAAGGTTTCTCGATTGGAAGCCTCGTATGGGCCTATGTTCAGCAGTGGACTTGTGAAGGGCGGTAATGAATGAATGAAAAAAAAAAAAACAAATTTTAAGGACCTATATTATCAAATAGTTTTTTTTTAAATATTAGCTGTAAATTTACTTACTTGTGGAATGTTATCAAACTTTCCCTTTGGTAACGAGTTTTACAAATTACGCACACTGTCATTATTACTAAAAATAATTCTTATTATATTACTAAAATCAAACATATTCAAACTACACAAAGTAGTTTCATTTTTTCGTTTAAAATACAGAGATGCGATTTAACCACTCAGGCCTCGACATTAACCACCACCATCTTAGTCAAACCTATGGTCAAGCCAAGAGTATAGTATGTCAGGCCAAAGACATTTTTTTTAAATGAAGGTAAATATAACTTAGAGTCATTAGTATGTTCTTATACAAAAATAAAAAATATCAACAATTAAAATATCGCATTCTCTGTATGAAGGTCAAGTCAAGAGAAACGATGATTGCTAGACGTTGTCCATAAATAAAATGTTTTGAGAAGTTATTAATTACCGTGTAGTGGCGGTGTACGAATATCCATATCATCCTGAGGGTCTCGTAAGAGGCGACTAGACTTCGAGAAAAGTTTTATTTTTCACTAAGTCTAGTCGGCTTGACAGGTGAATCACCGACCATAGTTTCCAAAGGGACATACCGAGTCGGCGTGCTAAAATTTTTGTTGAGACGTTAGGGTCGTCAATAGATAATCGTTACAAGTACTTACATAATCTAATTAATAACTTAAGTACAATAACGCATAGGCGTCAATCTTGGCGCATCACTATTCAACTACTCAACTATTTATCAGTATCTATAGAACATCTGGTTACGCTTGGCATAGTGGACATTTAGCGATATGCAAGCTTTAGACCTTGCTTATTTGCAGGGGCGTAGCTACCGCCGTATCAGCCGTATCAATGATACGGGGCCCCCAGGATATAGAGGCCCCAAACGTAGGTATATAAGCAAAAATTCTAAGGACTTGTATGGGACAGGATGTTGGTTTGAATTGTTTGGCTTGCTTAGTTCCTAGGAAGATTAATTGTAAGTAATAACTTATAATCAATATATAATTATTTTAATTCAATGCGAGAGTTTTTGTTCCTTTTGTGAAAAATCTTTACCCTTCATTTGGGCCCCGACAAATTTTGATACAGGGCCCCTCAGATTTTGATACAGAGTAGCGTGCCTCTAACTGACTGTGACTAACGCCGCCCATGAACAACTGCAACACCGGGGGATGGTTCCCCAGCCCATGATGGGGTATTGCAGATGCGTTGCCGGCCTTTTAAAAAGAAGTAGGCTCTTTTCTTGAAGGTCCCCAAGTCGTATCGGCTAAATCGCTGGTGGTAATCGATTCCACAAGGAAGTTGTGCGAGGAAGAAAACATCTTCTAAATAGCACAGTGGTGGACTGCCAATCATCCAGATGGTGTGAATGATATCGGGAGTTGTGCCGCGATGTGCGTTCGTGAAATTTACAGCTGGGATTAATCCGAACAATTCCTCAGAGCACTCCCCGTGGTAAATGCGAAAGAAAATGCAAAGGGATGCAACATCTCTTCGCAGCGCCAATGAATCGTGCCGAGCGGAAAGGACTCGACGATTCGAGCCGCTCTGCGTTAGGTGCGGTCAAGTGGAAGGAGCTGGCACTGGGGAGCCTCAGCCCAGAGATGGGAACAGTATACTATGTGAGGCCGAACCTGCGCCTTGTAAAGTTGCA